TTTTCCCAGTAGCTACTTAAAGTCATACCAACTCATAACTAAACCCTTTTGCAACCTCAAAGCAAAACCATGCTTTGTCTTAGCCTTTGGACAGAGAAACTTTTCTCTTTTTTCTTTTCCTTTTTCTTTTCCCAATTCATTAAAAAATTGTTTATAAAGGTACAATACGTTTGTGTGCATATACGTGTAGGTGAGATTCTAATATAAAATTTAAAAGATCACGGGTATGAATTGAAAGATCTTAACTGTCTACAAAAAAAAATCAAGATCAAATTATCCAACTCTAAATTAAGTAGATAGAATCCGTTCGTAAGTATTTGAATCATTGTTTGTTTGAAATTATATATTATCGTATTTGGACAATGTACTCGCATACATCTAGATACGGTGATGTCAAAGTAGATATATATCGATAATTTTACTACGATAATTTGAAACCAAGTTGTTTTAATTTTATAATAAATTAAATTGATAAGCTCAATTGGGATATTGTGTGCGGGAGAAAAAAGGATTTTTTACTCCATGTATTTATTTAGATGAATCAATTTTAAATTAAACATAAGGAGTGAAAATAGAATACCTCCCTCAAACCCATGTTAGAGAATTAACTAAAACTCATTTAAATAGAGCATCTAAATTTGACTTTTTAAAATATAAATTAGAAAAGTATTTTTTTAGTAAAAAAAGAAAAAAGAGGTATGGAGATTTAAACTTAGTAAAAAAAAAAATACTAAACTCATCATCGATATAGTTGAGCAACAAAAAAAATACCTAATGTTCAATACCAAAATGTTCAAACCAACACTAAAAAAATAGTTCCACTCAATCAAAAAGTACTCACATATATTGTAACAAATTCTACCGCTCAATTGCTTACTGTTTAATTCATGGTAAGTTGGTTATTCTGTTTTCTAAGTTGGTATTTTATGTTTTAACATTTTTCAATATACAATTTTTGTTGATGAATGTTAAAATTAATATATAATAAACTTACGTGATATAATACTGAGTGAATATTAACAAAAGTTTGGATGAAAAATTAGGCCACTTAAAATAGAAAAACTCCTTAATTTTCCATCCAAAATTTCAAGAAGTTGGTAGAAGCTTCGATTTTCTTCTTCTAGGTGACCTAATTTTCTCTAAATTTCCATGAGTTCATTAAACATATCATGTCGCATAAATTCATCATCAACCAATTTTAGTATTCACCAAACACGAAAGATATAACTAAAAACTGTTAAAACGTAAGAGATTAAATTGAAAATTGTTAAATCTAAATTGAAAATTCTTTCGAACACTGTGGACTGAAACATATACCTAGCTCGGTTTGATTTATTGTTTATTATGAGGAAAGGAAAGGAGAGTTAGCAATGAATTGGCCCATTTGTGTAAAAAGGAAGAGAGGGGAGCTAGCAATGCAAAGGCCACGTTTGGTTGTCTCCATGAGTGGGTGGCATTCCACACATGGCTTTGCTTAAGCATTTTCTCCCACTTCTCAAACCTTCTTCTTACAAAAATTCTGCCATGCTTACCCTTATATATTCTTCCCTTCTTTTTTCTTTTTCTTCCACTCTACTTTTTTTTTCTTTCTTTAACTATATATCTTTTCTCTTTTGTTGGTAGCTCTCTCTCACACACTAAGAAAATAGAATAATTTTGCCCCTTTAGTGATGGGGTAGCAAGAAAGTTTCCACTTTTTAACCTAAATTATACTGGTCTCGATCTCCTCTATCAAAGTCATAAACTTACTTTTTACCAGCTTTCTTAAATAACTCATCAATCTAAAAGTTAAAAATAACGAGTTATGGAATAATCTTGGGGTAGCTCAGCGGTTAAGGCACTTTGTTCATTCCCTAAATGTTGAAGGTTTCAAAATACTTCATATATCCCTATATTTGTTGTACTAAAAAAAATTTATTAGAAGATTTTTGGATCTAAAGCTAGATTCTTAAAATCCGAAGTTAATCAGTCGAGTCTATATATTTTTGACATATGTAAAGGTTTATTTATCTCAAATTACTCGTCGAGTGATATCATGAGATCAGTAGTAGCTTATCAAATTCATCTTTTATATGACCTATGCTTATATTCACAAATATACCTACAAACCCAACGTATAAATAGTACTCCAAAAATAACCCGACATAAATAACTCAGCCCACGTCTTTACAAAGGGCTATTTGCATAATTTAAACACAAATATGGCACAAAATTGAAAGTACTTAATTTCCAAACCTAGATTTTATAAATGGATATGTACTCATTGTGACCCAAAAAATATCCTCTTTAGAAAGTGGGGTATGGTTTTTGCTGTTTTAGTGATGCCGTTGGAAAGAGAATTTGACTTTTAATTACAAGTTGTGGAAATTTTCATTCTTTAGACATTCTAGGGGATTCCTCTAGATGAATTAGAAAATAACTTTTGTTTGTTTTATGCGTCTAATTATGAAAACTACTATCACAATTTGCCATTACTATTAAAAAATCAAATATAAATGAGGGATAGTATAAATCTTGAAAATGGCGGCATATATATAATTATCCTATAAGAAATCAAATAAATTTAATTAGTTTATTTTGTATCTTTTTTAAGTTTAATCCCACATTTTTGTATATTTACAATATAAGAAATACTTAGAATAATTTTTTACTGGTTTAAATTCAAGTTTGCTTCTGTTTTCAGGATCCAAGCCTCTAAATTTTCATAATAGTTTCATTTTTAAAATTTTTACTCCTCCAAACATTTTTTTTTTATCTCTACATTTTGAATAAAAATCCATATTTGATCATTTCTACTAAAATTATATATTTACATTTAACAAAAAAAATTGAATGAAGCCATATAATTAGTCCAATATCAAATTTACAAATAAGTAGCCTACAAATTCTATTGATTTCAATACCAAAATATAATAACACAGATTAAACCTAATATTTCTAAAATAGGATTTAAATTTATTTTATACATTATATGATTTAAATAATTATGACTTTTTAAGGGGTAGATGTCATTGTAAGCAATTATTAAGGGTGTTAGGTTGAGTCGAATTGAATCATATAATTAAGAAATTTAATAGACAAAACCCAATTGTTCACATGTTGCTAATTTTTCAAATCCAATTGATCCTAATTACTATAAAATGAAGTGAGAGTGTGACAATAATTTTTTGTGTTAATTTGGCTCAAAGTTGAAACTAATTATAATAATTCGTACCAATTTTACTGAGTTTTAAGATATGCACATTTAAGATATAATTTTCTTATCCATCCAAGCATGCATAGGTTAGTTTAGTGTATAATGTAATAGCTTCTTTAAAATTTAAAACTTCAATCTCCACGTCATAGCCAAATTTAATATTGTCAAATGGTAAATGACATCTACTTCATTATTTTAAAGTTAGAGGTTCAAGTATAATCTTCGTACCTGCATTTGTTATACTTAACAAAGAAAAAAAAATCTTCACACCATATTTATTGAACTATGTATACAGGGTTTAAATACTATTTTGGTCATGTACTTTAAGTTTTGGCTCATTTTGGTCCCCAAATTTTGTCTACTTTGATCCATATACTTTCAAAACATTCATTTATATATCTCTATTTTTAAAAAAGTGACATTTTGGATCATTTTATTTTTTATCTCATTTTTTGGATCACAATTTCAACACGATACTGTACTGAAAAAATTTCTTGAGATATAGTCATAGCTTTGATTTTTTTAAAGACAATCATAACTTTGTATTAAAGAGTTTCTGTATAAAATTTGTGTTAAAATATTTTAAATAAATATTAAAATGATCCCTTAAAAGTACAAAAATGAAAATTTTGAAAATACAGATGAAAAAAAAAATTATAAATACATAAATCAAAACTGAAAGTAAAAATTGTACTTAGACATACATATAATATAATTTTTGCTTTGCCACCGGCGGATCATAAAGTTGAAGGTCAAATTAAGATTTAAAATATTTTCCTCAAAATAATGTAACCTACTTTATCACAATAAATATATATATATATATATATATATATATATATATATATAAAAGAGAAAATTAAACCTATGTTTACTCTTGGATCCACCGAAGAATTATGAAGGAAATTTGAAAATTGAAAATGTGGTGGCGCGGAGAACAAGGTCGACGGTCCAATCCATATCAGTAGGGTGGGCCCGGCGGAAACAGAGAAATAATTGAGAAAAAAAAAAGGAAAAGGGAAAAAAAAGCGTCAAGCGAGTGGCCCATGCGGCTCTTTTTCAAAACTCAGCCCCCCTTTTCCCGCCTAGTCTTCTTCTGCTCTGTTTGATTGAATCTTCCCTTTATTTTTTTTTCCAAATTTTATCAAATTACTAAATTGGTCACGTCCTTTATTTTTTCCTTTTTTTTTATATTCGTAAGTATTCAAGCCAATTATGATTTTACGAGACAATTATCTGATTTTATTATATTTAATTACTAAGAAAACTCATTTGATATTAAATCTTAAATAGGTCATCATGTTATTTATTAGTTTTATTTTACGATGGAGATGTGCATAAAGTTTTTGAACATAAATAAATAAATAAGATTAAAGAAAAAGAAATTCTATATTACTTTTCAATAATGTAAAACATGTTTGGTTAGCTTTAATCAAACAGTAGATAGTAGGGACGATAGTGAAACTTTAAACAATATAAATACCAAATTAATAATAATAATAATAATAAAACAAGAAAAATAAAGCTTAACGCTTAACCTAAGATTAGTTCTTATGAAATATAGTTACTTTTTTTAAACTTCGTAGGGATGAATCTCTATCATCTATTTGTAATATAGAATTATAAAATATATACATAATTTAACATTAATTTAGTAGTGATTAATAAGTATAATATATAGAGAGCCAGGGGCAAATTCGGCAGAGGCTAATATGGAGAGGGGGAAAAGGCGGTAAAATTAAAAGACGGGAGAATTTGAAAAATGGAATTTTATAATTATCGTTATTTCCACCATTTTGAGTTTTATTAAGTGTCATTTAGCCGCTGTCTCTACGCTCTCTGTTACTGTAATCTGTTCTTACTCTCAAAACTTTTCTCATTGTCCGCTACGTTTCTTCGCTCTCAATCCGCCCCCACTTTCCTCTAATCAATCGCACTCGCTTTTGAGCTTTCCGTCTTCGGGTTGAATTTCAGATCTCTCTGCGCTCTTCATCAACTTGGAACTTGGAAGTTCATCAGGTACTGCGTCTGATTTTACCTTTCTAATTTGTTCCAAGGATTGGTTCGTCTTGTACGTTGTTTTCGGATTTGTGTCTTTCTGGAGTAGATGATTCGGTGACTGCTTTAAGTTATGTAGATTTCTCTTCGTTTGGATCTTCTTCATGAATTTCATTTCAGATGTGTGGTTGTGTTGATGGATTCTGCCTATTCGATTTTGTTTCTTGCTGCTTGGTCCTAGCTTACACCGCTACTCATTAATTAATTGTTACTATATCGGAGAATAAATTGTTTGACGTACTTCTTCGAACTCTGAGTTATGTAGATTTCTCTTCGTTTGGATTTTCTTGATGAATTTCATTTCAGATGTGTGGTTTTGTTGATGGATTCTGCACTTCTGATTTTGTTGATTGCTGCTTTGTCCGCTTACAGCGCTTCTTAATTAATTGGTACTATATAGCAGAAGAAATTGTTTGACGTTATTCTTCGAACTCTGAGTCAATGTTTTTCTTTTCCTGATCGGTTTTCCTGCAGATTTTTTTATCGGTGCTTTTGTTCGTATGGAGAATCCAGAACTGAACAAGCTGAGCCCATTTTCGGCCGAGGCTGACTTTCAAAACAGATCTAAATGGCTATCAAATAATCTAGACGGTAAGCAGTGTTTTACGATTGAGTTTTCTGGTTACTTGTCCGAGCCTAACGTAATAAGCTTCCGTTGTTGTTGTTGGAAGTGTTTTCAGCTCATCAGCTTCTACTCGTACAGAAAACTCTTGTACTTATTTTCTTGTTATCTCTCATATTGATTGTGCTATGAGTAATGTCTCACTCATTACTTTGGAAAGTTTGAAAATAATTAGAATTCTCCTCTATGACAGGAATGAATCGGAGTGTTGAGCAGATGCTGAAGGCGATCAAAGAAAATAGCCATAATTTCCCGAAAACTGCTGATATGGATTCTCAAGTTGAGGAATTCTCCCGCTTGTATCAATTGTTGGTTGAAAAAGTATTGTCACCGGAGCTACAATTGCAGGTGCCTGTTTATTCTGATTGTGGATCTCCTCAAGGCACTCCGGATTTAAGTTCGGATCAAAAACAGGGTTTCAATATGTCCAGCAATAGAGGCTTGGATATCTCTTTTGATTCTGGTGGTGGTAGCTCCAGTCTTTCTCTGAAGGACGGAACTGAATTTTCTTCTTCTTCTTCATCCGACTCTGAGTCAGAATCTTTTAACTCATCCGTCGACAATAACTATGCGGTTTCACGTGCTGAAAAAGATGGCCAAGGTCTGAAGAAAAAACTTCTTGAGTTAGAAACTGAGCGTCCTAACATGAAAGGGGCATTTTGGGTTGGCGAGGAAGACAAGGTAAATTACGATGAGTTGCAAGACAAATTCGCTAGAATTGAGGAAGAACTAAATGTTTCAAATATAAAGCTTCAGTTATCTGAGAAAGAGGTAGCTAGATTAAAGAGTAAGCTTGAGAAGAACGAAACAATCTTTTTGTTATCGGAAGGATTGCAGGCTCAGCTTGCGTCAGCTGAAAAAGATAAGGAAGAAAGGGAGGCGGACCTTCAAGTGGAAAAAATGCGAGTTCTGGAACTGCAACAACAAACAGAACAGTTGAAAACTCGGGCTTCTGAATCCGATTCCAGAATTGAAAGATTGATTGAAGAGTTAGAAATGAGCAGAGAAATGCTCAGGAATTCAGATGACAGGATCGCAAAGCTGACGCATGAACTAGATATTGTGCAATCTGACCACCATCTTCAGATCAAGGAATTAGAAACAGTTTTTCAAGTTTCACAGGAGCGATTCCATGCTGAGAAAGAACAGATGCAGTCTGATATTCTCAAACAAGTTGAAGCTGAGAAAACAGGAACTAGAGCTCTCCACATTGCTCATGAGACAGCCTTGCAAGGTGAGATTAGTCAGTTGAAAGATGAACTATCTGCAAGAAGCGAAAGTTTGGCAGCTCTGAATAGATACCACGACGAACTAAAATTGAAACACGATACGCTCATGGCCGAGAAAGATGAATTGACCGCCACAGTTCACAAACTTTTAGCTGATGAAGAATCCAGAGAGTCTCGGGTCCATGAATTGGAGGTTCATCTTCAACATTTACAAGTAGAGAAGGAGGGCTTGATTTCTGGATCTGAAAGCCTGAAAAAACAAAATGATGATTTGAAATTGGAACTCTCAGAGTTGCAGGAAGAAGTGAACAAGCAAAAAGTTACGATCGAGGATGGGGCCGAGGGGAAAAGGGAGGCCATAAGGCAGCTCTGTTTCTCTCTGGATCACTACAGGAGTGGGTATCAAGAGCTTCGTCAAGCATTCGTTGGCCACAAACAGCGTCCAGTACTCACTGCGTAGATCTTTTGCCTGTAAGATCTATGAACTGCTTATCATGTCTGCTTTTAATTTTTTTCCATGCATTTTATTTGTTTATGAGCATATCATTATTTAGTTGATTTTTAAACGTAGGTTAAGGACAATTGAATATCCTGTTAAAATATTTAGCCCAGTTGTAGTTTGAACGGCTTTGGTTAAACAGCGAGCATGTTAGAAGGATGTTGGTAGGAGTAATTTTCTCCCTTTTGGGACCAAAGCTGCATATTTTGTTGTATAATATCTAGGTGCTTACTGGTACATTATTTATTTATTTGTTTGATTTTCTGTCTCTTTTTTATGCTCTTTTAGTTATCAAATTTTTTTATTAGTTGTAAAGTACCTAAAACTTGGTGAAAGGTATTTGTTATTTGTTATTCTTGGATTCTGTTTTTTTAAGGAGATTCGAACTCACAACCTATTAATTAATTAGAGTTATATATCAATTATCGCTGAACTCGACATTCTTAGCTTCTGTTATTAGTTATCTTAAAATTATTAAATATCAACCTGATTGAACAGACTCATGAATAGCCTAATTTGAGCTACCGATGGCCTATGATTCAATTATAATTTTTACCCACATTTTTAAAATTTTATGAGGACATTGAGAACAAGTTAGCTTTATTTCCTAAAAAATCTTAGAATATTATTAGCCTTGGAAACTTCTTTAGAGTTTTTTTTTTTTTTAATTAGCTTTTACTTGACAAAGTGAGAGGTTCTTGAAAATTCTTTGCGTATAGGATTCTTATCAAAATATTGTTATGAAGAATATTTTTGCTTTTATGTTACCATTTAAGACTTTATTCATTCATTTAAAGTATAGTTTCCATTTAACTCGATTAATAAAAAGTTGATGAATAATAAAAAATTACTTTTAATGATATTCAGAAATTGCTCAAGTAAATTTAGGTACAGGGTACGAGAATTGAGCCACTAAATATTTAATCCTCTAAACAATATCATTCTTCAGTTAATAAATAGTTTTCTTTTTAGTACCCAATTAGTAAATAGTTCAAAATAAAATGTTTTTCATATTTGTGAAGAAAGCATATAGAATTATGAAATTGCGACTCATGAACATGTAATCAATCGATAATCAATCAGATAATTTAACACCAAATGAAAGCTAAATATGATGACTAATACTCCATCAAATTACAAGCCCTCAAATTGTTTAATATAAAATAATATTAATTAATTAATTAATAATATTATTATAAAATTTATATAATTATCATTTTACAATATTATATTATTTATAATATATTATATTTTAGATGTTTTAATATTAACAAAAAAAAATAAATAATTTTATAACATGAAATAATATATTTATCAAAATTTTGATATTTTTTAATATTCTACCTTTTAAAGTTTCAAATTCAAAATCTAAAAACAATAACAACATAAAAATATTATTTTCAAAATTCCACAGCTTGAATAATAAAATTCGAAAGCAATTTTAAAAAATGTTGCCAAGAAACGGAATTTGAATTCCCAACCAAACGATCATTATCTTCTTGGTTGAACTCACCTTATTCTCCCTGAAATTAAGCTCGTGTTCGGGTCGTGGAAAAGAAGCCAACCATATAATCTTACATGAGACAAATTCATAATATGGTTTTTTATTATTATTATTTTTTTATATAACAAGTTCATCATAAAGTTCAACTTAAAACCCAAATTCTTGCCAACTAAGCTGCTCCTTGGAGGCCAATTTTTATTTTACATTTTAATACATACTAACTTGCATACACCTCAACTAATATCATGGAGAAAATTTGATCCCAACTACATTTGGATACCAAGAAAACTGTAAAATTTTAAAATCCTAGATGGATTGGTGACTACTAAATCTTCACTTTTTTTATTGGTGATCACCTGGACCAACTCCTGGTGGTAAAAGTCAAATTCGTCTAAGAGCAAGCTAAGTTTCATAAATGCATCACTAAAAGAAGATATTACTTCCTCTGCCTAGTCTGGACTAGCAAAAGGGAGAAGAGAACTCACTTGAAAAAGGTCTCCCCAGCAACTGTTTTTGAAGTTCATCGGCTGCTTCCTGCAGAACGTATAGCAGTGGGGGCATTAATTAGCTGCATTTCAAAGTGCCTTATTCACCACATGCCCTGCACTTCCCAGCTTCTCCATCCTCTGCTCTACCCAAAATTGGCTTCCCACCATAAGAGTATCTGAAGATGGGGCAGGACAGATATCAAGCCCCACACACAACTTTCTCAAACTCAAGCTTCCTAAACCCTTCACTTAAGGTTGAGGTTCAAGATACTGAACCCACGTCACAATCACGAGGCATTTACAAGCTTAGCACGTCGAGTTTTTGGATCCACCTCAATTTGAAGACCAAGTTCAGCAATCTCGGGCACATCTACAGAACCTTGAACTTCTAGTTCAGCTACTAATTTTTGGTTTTCTAAGTTTCCTTCAAGTAAGTTCCTCATAGCCCAGATGCCCCATTCCCTCAGGAATGGGTTGTTCTCATCAGCAACACACTGCTGCAACAGCACAAACACTCCATTCTTCTTTCTAATGTCATCTTGTACATGCTTCCTTCTGTATGAGCAATTTGCAATGACAGCAACAATATCTCTTCGAAACCCTTTATACGGACACCGCTTTAATGAGTTAGGGCGACTACTTCTATCCTCGTTCTCGGCTTGTTGAAGTGCTTTCTTGATCATGGCTGGAGGTTCGACATTGCGAAGTAAGCCCAAAAGCAAATCTAGAAGTCCAAGAGAGAGAAGCACATCAACTGCATCCTCAGAAATATCTTTATGTCTACCATCCTGTGCACAAATATCTCTTAAAATAGCTAGTGAGTACCCGAGAACATCTACGGCGGTTGTGCCTGTTGGAAGACTACACTTGCATATTGGGGTGAAATCGATAATAGAAAGGGAGCTCTGGAAGATTCTAAATACACACGATGCAAAATCATTGGGGACAGTAATATCTCCGATTCGCTCATTCAATATCTCCGATATGATTGTCAAAAGAAATGCTTGTTCTGAAGAAAATGAAACATCTTCGGATTCAACTTTTTCACCATCTTTAGAATTATCAACAGGGCATAACTTAGAAAAAAGCAGAGGAAAATAAGGCTCTTCTAAGCAGATTCTCGAAAGAAGCAACTTCACCCAATCTTCACCAAAACCAACTGCAGAAAAACAAAACAGGAGTGTGAAGAAAAAAAAGGATGATACCAAAGATATGTAAAACATATAAGATAGAACGAAAATTTAAGCAAATTTAAGAGTTTACCCGAGGATGCAGTCCTCGTAATCTCTACAATAATAGGCAACCCAGAGTCACCACAAAGCAATGCAACCAATTCATAGTGTCTACTACATAGATTGTAAATAATCATACTCAAAGGATCAGAAATCTCACAGTACCGAATCCGTGCGAGTAAAACAAAATTGTCGGGGAATAGTTCACGCCAAATTGCTTGTTGATGCTCTTCTCCAGCCAATGAAACATTTGCTAGAACCTGCAATCCTAGTCTAATGATCACGATATCAGGATCACACATCAGCATAGCGTACTGCAGAATGCTTGAAACAACTCCAACTCCACTTTGCTCAATGAAAACATTCTGATTTCTAATTTCTCCAGCACATAGGTTTCTAAGGAGCTTCAAGGATGATAAGAGAAGTGCACCACTAGAAGTGTCAATGAGACGCTGAATCAACTCAAGCACAGAAGGGAGGATATTTTGTGAAGCCAAATCCGATCGACCCTCGGTACTTTTGGAAGCTTCAATAAGGATATCTAAGGATGCTTCTAAGGTGAATGATTTTGCAGCACTTAACAATTGCTGAATAATTCTTTCAGGTATAGATTGCTCAGATAATGATGGATTCTTCATTTTCAGGTAAAAAATGCTTAATACTCCACAAAGAAAGCTCCTTTTTGTAGAATTCTGAACTTCAAGTGAAGGCAGCAATGATCAATAGCAAAAGGACAGGAGACAAGTTTTCCTAACAAAAGCAAAACAACCAAGTATAAGTTGAGAACATTTTCATTTTCCTTTTAGGTTGTAAGTGTCGCAACGTCATCACGATGGGGAGTGCCGACTCATCCCCTAAAAGGTCTCTTGGACTCGCGACGCGGAGCACAGTACACAGCCCTCATGTTTTAGAATTTGATGAACACAAAATGCAACATCAAGGCACATAATCAATTTGAAATTAATTTTTATGCAATCAAGATATGTAAGCACAAACTATTTTCCAGCAAACACATAATATGAGCAATCCTGAACTCTAAAATTTCAGCATTGAAACAACCACAAATCCCTTAATTTTCGGTCAACAAAATAGCACCTAAAATCATCAATTTCAAATAAAATAACAGCAGATGAAATCCTTAATTATGCCCAAAAACAAGCACCTAAAATCACTAATTTTCAGCCAAAAAAAATCTGCACCAAAATCACTAATTTTCAGCCCACATTCAGCCCACATAACAGTACAAAAAATCGCTAATTTTAAGCCCAAAAATCTTAAGTCACCAGCCCACATAACAGCACCAAAATCACTAATTTTAACCAAAAATTAAAAAAAAAATTGCACTTAAATCAACAATTTCCAGCCCACATAACAGCACCAAAATAAGCTAAAAACTGCACCTAAATCAACGATTTACAGCGCTCATGACAGTACCAAAATCAATAATTTTAAGCCAAAAATATGCACCTAAATTATCAATCTTCAGTAAAAAACTATGCATAACAGTCCCAACTCTCTAAAATTTCAGAATTTGCAAATTTGTAAACACTCACAAAATTTTAGGTATCACAAAAAAGACGCCCACCACGTTTTAGAGTATGCACGGCTTAAACATCCCGAGATTTCAGAACTTTCAAACCTCAAAACACCCACAAAATTTTAGATTCATAAATCCCTTTTTTTTTGTACTAAAAAAACCCTTTTTTAAAAAAATAATAATGATTAATAAATAAAAAGAACACATACAATATTTATTCCATAATATAAACAATTCCAATAACCCCAAAATCTCATGCACATTCCAAAACCTAACAGAGCCCTAAAATTAGAAACAAAATTCTATGAAATTTTGCTTACCTTAGTTACCTATAGGTTTATCTCTATCGGTAGTTGGAGGTAGTAGAGGAACGTGGCAGACCTGTTCGTGCCGCGTCTGCTCGCCGGAGCTCGTAGGAAGTCGCGCCGCCGCCTGAACCGCTGCTACAAGTCGTCGAAATGGCCGTTCGTCGCCGATTTGGGTGTCGCCGGAGAAGAATCTGCTGCTGCTGGGATTTGCTACGGGTCTGGACGCGGGTCTCGTAGATCTGTCGTCGCCGCCGTCGTTCGTCGATAGCCGGAATTCGTGGTCGCCGTTCGGGGGTGTGATGCCGTCGGAGGATGGGATAGAAAGGGGCAGGGAGTCGGCTGAGTTTGAGAGAGGAAGAAAGGTTCTTTTTACGAAAATCTAAATTTTATTTTCTGATCGGGAGATTTCAGGAATTGAATTGAGCCGAAAATTTAGCCAAATGGGATTTATAGCTTTAATTAAAATTATTTGTATGCTAAACTAAAACTTAGGTTAATAATTTATCTTCAATAAAAAAAAAACTCAAAATTAAAAATTTGTACTATTAATAAAAAGTGTTGAATTGTGTTTTACCACGATAAGCTGAATTATCTTATAAGCAAATATTATAGAGGCATTTACAAATAAATATTGTTTTAATTTTAGATTTATCGACTTAATTATCTCATAATCCGTAATTTAGTTTTCCACTCACGCACGGATTTTAGTAATTCAGTAGGAAACTAGTTCCTAGCTGTCTTTGGAAATAAGTGCCTATATATTCCTCCATCAGACTCTTCCTTTTTCACATACTACAATCTAATCTCTTCACCTTTTATATTTTCTCCTCTAAGTATTCATCCATCTTTGTTCTTCCTCTCTTCAATTTTAAGATGGTCGGTGGTGGTTTCGAGTTAAGTGGTAATCAAGGCGGTTCGTTTAAGAATTATCCTGGAGAACTCACTTCTTGTGTATTGATAACATGCATTGTTGCTGTCATGTGCGGACTCATCTTTAATTACGACATTGGTATCTCAAGTAATTAAATGATTGTTTATATGTAGGACTAGCTTAAGATATAGGCATATGAGATGTGATTTCTAAAGACTAAAAATTCATCGATTTGAAATATAAAAGAC